CTTGTGTCAAAACCGTTTCCTCTCCAGCACTAAGAAGACCAAAGGGGGGAAAAAAGTGAGGGGTTCCTCCCCCCCCCGCCCCCCACTCACTAAGGCTCACTTGCAGCCGTCCTTTTGGGGGGGGGGGTCAAGCTTCAGCCCCGTGAAGCTCTTTTTAAAAAAAAAAGAGGAAGGAAAGAAAGAAAGATAAGTTTTATTTTTTTTAAAAAAAAAGAGTATATAAAAGCACATTTTGACGTTAGAAAAGTATTTTTTAAAAAAACATAGCACCAACATAAGAGGCCCTTTGAACATCCTGGAAATGACATTTCTGAAATGTTCCCCCTTAAAAATGCCGTAAAAGGGCGCTACATTTTGGGGACGCAAGAATTATTTATTTTTAATATTGTCTTGAAAACCTGAAGGGTTCCAATAGAAAATCCTGCCGGAGACTATAAACGTGGAAGATTTGCTACACTCTTCAAAGGGGGGGGTGAAAGAGGAGAGGCAAGGAGAAGGCACATCAAATGGCTAGTTACAAGCACCCACGCTTTCACCCCCATGCCCTGAACAGCCCCCCCAAGTTGGGAGGGGGCTGCAGAATTCCCCCTTGACCTCCTGCCATGCAAACTTCATTCATGGGATTCAGTTCACAAACCAGCAGACACGCCTAAGATATAATACAGTAATGATTGTCTCACATTCCGGAGGTTATCGCCCACCGCACGGACACGGACTCACAAAAACACACTTCCACCCAATTCGGGCATGGATTTCGTTGGCTCAGAAACACGACACACTGAAAGGAATCTCTCCCTCCTGAAATTCCTGGCCTCCGTTTTGAGTGGCACTTGATCGTCCCTGAGACCCCGTCATTCCTATCGGAGTAGGATCCATTGGGATCCCTGCAGCCACAGGAGGATTGCCAGCAGGCATTGGGCAAAGGGAAGACTGGCAAAAGAGGCAGGCAGTGAGCCAGTCGTGGGCAATCCTCTTGGCACAGAACTGACGAGAGCTGGATGCCTTTTGCACGCTCCCCATTGAGGCAACACCGTCTGGAACTGCGTCGTCAGATAATGAGGAGTGGCATTCCTTTGGCAACCTCAAATACTGACAAGGAAAAGAGAGGAGACACACACACACACCCAACAGCGCCCATTTGCCCGCAGGGGAAAAAATGTTACCAAACTGGAGCAGTGGACAATATTCCCAATTTCCTCTGCGGCCGACTTAAGAAAAAGTTTCCTTAACAGATCGAACCTCTGCAATCCAAAGGCTTGTGGTTCCCCGAGGAACTTTGGCAATCTTGACATCCAAGCCAAGCCCCTTCTGCCCCCCCCCCCCTAATCTCAGATGGCAAGTTGGAAGCTGGTTCAAGAACAACACGGGCACCCTTGTTTCTGCCAGTGTGTCAAAAGAGGGTTTGCGTCATCCGGAGAGAAAAAATAATAATCTGGGGGTTTTTTGGACAGAGAACACAAAGGATTGCAACTTGTCTCCTGCAACGATTTTCCTGGGTTTGGTTCATACAAACACCGGGAAGCCTGGAGTAAGGCATCAAGTGAGGCTCAGCTACCTGCCCACCGAGGCGAACGTGGGAACGCCGATTGCCAAAATCATGGCAAAGTTTCGGATTAGGAAACGAGCGAGCAGAAAGACCCTTCAAAATCTCCAGTGCCTTTATCCCCCCCTCCCCTCCCCCAGGGAATGGCTTCCATCCCACCCAAGCCTTATCCTGGTCTATTGAAATCAGGGTTCGAAGAACGGACAGCCAAGGAAAACAATCAAACAAGATTAAAAATAGCAGCATTGGTGAGGATTGAAGTCCATGATGGAGGGTCTCCAAGCACGGAAAGGCAGCTAGAGGGTTGAGAATCTCGTAGCAGCTTTTAAACCACGGTAAACATTTGTAGATTGTCTTTTTTCCGGGGTGGGGGGGGGATGTGGTGGGTTTCTGCCCGCTGGGAATTTCCCTGCCTCTGAAAGGACCATGGTGGTGCAAATGCTCTTCGCAAAACTCTTTTTAAAAGTAAGAAACACCCAGCGAATATTGAAATGGGTTCTTTGCACTCAAAATACTCCCCCCAGTGCACTTTTCTCTGCAATTAAAGGCATTGTGTAATTTTAAAAGTATAACAGCGTATGGCACGGTTCATTTTTTTTTATCTTCTCCCCCCCGCCACCCCCATTTTGGCTCCTTGTAGTAGGATTATCTCCTGCTTTGCATCCAGCCCAAAATTCCTCTCTAGGAATTTTTTCCTCTCTAGGAATTTTCACATCCGGCTGCAAAATGGCTGTATAAAAGTCTATTCCCCCACCCCACCCCCCAAAGTTTTACGTTCTTTAAAACAAAAGTTGAAAAAGAAAAAAAAACGTTCCTACTTTATCTCCCTACACACACACACACCCAAGTGTGAACAGCGGGAGAGAAACCCAAGTCAAACTGGCTCATTGCTACAGAAGGACGGGGCACTTCGGAATTGCATCCTACAGTTTCCCCGTTTTCAAGTTTTCGCTTTGGTGCTGGCGGCTGGTGGGAAAAGGACTCTTCGTTCGAGGAGCCGCCGTTTCCCCATCCACTCACGACGAGGTGGGGGGGATGCTACCTCTCTGCGGCTCCCCCAAAATCCGTGTTGGTTTTGCGGTGTTTTGGTTTGGTTTGGTGTTTTTTTTTTTTGGCACAACGGGAACGCAAAAAGTCTGGCGAACTTGGAAGAAAGTCATGGATGGGAAGGATTTTTTTCTGCGGAGAAGGTCTCCTTCACGGGGAGGGGGGCCTCTCGGCTCTTCTCCTTCCACCCGGGGAGACCGCAGGGCCCCCTGCGGCCTAATCGCAGGAGAAATAATCCTTCAGGGGGGCAAAGAGATGGCGGATGACGGGGACGCTCCAGGACCTCCCAAGCAGCTTCTGACGTGCCAGGCGGCCCATGTTGGACACGTCGGTGTAATGGAGGGGGAAGCCAAAGATCCTGTGGGGAGAACAGACCATTAGCTCCGCTGCCCAATCTCCGAGGAGAGGGTCAGGGCCCCCCTCCCCACAAAAAGAGGGGGCTCTCTTTTCACCTCCCCCACAGTTGGCCCAAAAGACGAATGCAGCTAGTCCTCGGCTTACGACCAAATTTTCTGTTGCTAAACGAGGCGGCCATTAAATGAATCGTGCCCAGTTTTCCCCTCTTCTTCCCCCGCATGTCAGGCCTGAAGCCTTCTTTTCTTTCGGATCTTTGGCCTGCCACACTTTCTATTCTTCTACTATGCATTTTCTACGGTGGGAAAATGGGATTGTACGGAGTTAGATGATATGCAGCCATAACAACATTCCTTTCTAGAAAGCCAAGGTCATCCTTTGTCTCTGCACCTCTGCACCTGACCGGAACTGGATGGAAGGAATCTGTCTTTGTGGTAGTGGGAGATTGGACCATGGGATGGACTGGTGGGTGTGGGGGCAAGATCTTGAACTTTCAGCTGGGTGGGAAATCTGGGAATCTTTCAGATTCAGGTTTTCCCAGATGGGCCAATATGACTCTCTTCATAAAGGATTTGAGGAATCCTTTGCCTCGGACTCTGATTTACTTTTGGATGCTATTTGGAACCCTGACATCACAGTTGTGACATCACTGCAGTCATTAAGTGAATCATGCACTCGCTAGAAAGAGAATCCGGCTTCTCTCATTGACGTTGCTTATCCGAAACCGACTGGGAAGGAGCTGGGCTCCTTTTTACAATCTTTCTTGGAATAGTTGTTAAGTGAATCAATGCGGTTGCTCAAGTTAGGAACACGGTTGTTAAGTGAATCTGGCTTGAACTTGGCTTGTCAGGCAATCGCAAAAGGGATCACGTGCCACAGAGAAGGCCCTCTCCCGGGTAATAGCCAGGTGGCATTGGTTGGTAGATGGAACCCGGAGGAGGCCGACCCTGTGAGATCTAATCGGTCTGGTGGAGGTGATTGGCAGCAGGCGGTCTCTCCAGTACCCAGATCCAATACCATGAAGGGCTTTATAAGTGACGACTAGCGCCTTGAAGCGTATCCGGAGACCGATTGGAAGCCAGTGCAGCTCGCGGAGGATAGGTGTTACGTGGGTGAACCGAGGTGCACCCACGATTGCTCGCGATGGGGGGATCTGAAAACCTGTGGACTTCAACACCCAGAATTCCCCTGCCAACCGAGATTGGAGAGCCCTGTGTTGGACAAAGGATTGGTCAGCCTGGCTTCCAGGACTGAAGAAGAGCTTAGGACAGGGAGGAAGAGGCATTTTATCACGTTGGGGACTTGGACGGAGTCATCTGTGGGATTTGTTTTATTGATTTAAGAAAATGTACACAGTCACCCAACTCACTCTGAGTGACTTAAGCTAAAAACTGAATACCAAACAATAAAACTCCTACCCCATATAAATATATTAAGCAATAAATAATGGTCAGTAGAACAAGCCAGAGTTTACAAGAGCAACGGAGTGATGGTTAAAAGCGTAGTCTGGATTCTCACAATGCACCAACACACCGCCTGACCCACAAACTCCCCCAAGGCCTCTGAGCCCAGCCCTGTGTGAGGGGCCAACCCTGGAA